TCTGTCAAGTGCAGAGTGGCCTAAACTACCTCCTTGTGTACCGAAGACTAGGTATACAGTACAGAGTTTTAGCCACGATACCGCCAGTGGACCACGAAACGTACCCTTGTTGTGTACGTATTAAGACTAACGGGGTACGAAGGTTTATATCTAAGAAGCGTCAGGAAGAGGAGTACAATTATTTAACATCTGTCTTTTAGTGTTAGAGACCTTACTAGGGCTATGTGTCTGGTGTTTAGTCAACTTATTATAGGGTGATTATAAATTATACTAAACAGATCCGGTGAAAGATAGGAAAGCTAATCTTGGGCACTGGGAGCTTACTTTAGTATACAGTAAGACTAAAAAAAATATCCTCTCAAGTGACGTAGACTAATGGACGAGACGATCAGAGAAAGGAGAGACGGAAAGTGTGGTAGGGAGGTTAAATTAAAGTAATATATATATAAAATCAACTTGAGGGATGGGAGGAACAAGTTACTTATGAACATCATCAACTCTGTAACGGTGGGAAGTTTCTCCTGAAGGCTGGAGGTGAGGTTTAGTGGGTGTAAATAGAAGCCGTCTAGCTTCTTTCATCAAGTTATCACGTCCGACCCATTAGAGCCAAGTTGGGTAGCCCCGGTGAGGTGTGTGTGTGTGTGTGTGTGTGTGTGTTTCTCTCTCATCACAACACCTCCAACGCTCCCCTGACAGCCTCGGCCAACATACAGGTGGCCGGAGGAGTAAAATTGAATAAGTTTCAAGAGTATACGAAATATGTTACGATATAAAAACAAACATGTCGAATAAAATCACCCCCTCCTTCCACACACTACACTACACTGCACTACACTACACTGCACTGCACTACACTGCACTGCACTACACTACACTACACTGCACTGCACTACACTACACTACACTACACTACACTACACTGCACTATACTACACTACACTACACTGCACTGCACTACACTACACTACACTACACTACACTACACTACACTACACTACAAATCATCGGCCACATTAAAAACTTCACCCTGATTAATTTCTCGTGGCAGACTTCAACCCAGAATAAAACCCCAGCAGCTCACGGGGGAGTTAGCTGCCCTCTCTCACTATAAAACACCTTTGTCAACAATGTCTCTGGGAAATGCCATCGATTCCTATTGAACTACGACAGCACATGAGGTGCACTTACACACATTAACATGACTTGTGTGAGTAGTTCTTATATATCCCCGATCAACAACCTCACACGTGACTAGACTGCTTTATGTGAGCTATATATGATTCTTGTGTTGTAAAGTAAATGTAACAATTTCTACCTGGTAAGACTTTTTATAAATGTCTACGTGAATATATCTTCAATCAGGTACAATATATGTCTGAGGGTTGGCGACCACAGCCCTCTACTTCAAACGTTTAGGGCTTAACTTTACTAATTATCGGTGATTTTGTAGCTCAGGGGACCACAGATTATTATTTCATTAATTCGTTCTAGTCTCAACCTTCCCCTGGCCCTCATATACCATTAATATCTCCACTATCACCCCCTCGACCCTCATTACATGGTTAAGGAACTCCCAAAAAATCATTTATACTCTCCTTCCAAATTGTGGGCTAAAGTTCGTTCATACTTCACTCTGATAACACACTTGGTCATCATACAATGAATTTTTAAAAAGGAGGTAAGCTTGAAGAACCTCGAGGGTTTAAGAAGAATGACAGCCAGCAGACCTTTCCTCCGTAATTCTAAAAGATCGTAATGGAAAACATGAAATACATATGAACGAACCCACCAACAGCCTCCAGGCCTTGTGAGGTGGTCCCTTCAACAACATGAATTTCACTCGTATAAAGTACAAACTATTTTAAGGTAATGGGGAAAAAATATAATCAATTGCCGTGGTTGTTGAGTAGTTATTTATCATAATATAACCTTTTTTTACTTCGTGGTATAGGATGTAGGGAGTAAGTCCGTTTAGGTTTGCTCAAGTCCTACACTCCACAGTAAATATATAACTTCCACGTTCTAGAGATCAGATTCCACGATTCTATCAGAAGGACTTGAGAACCATTTGCTACAGTAGGGACAAACAAACACACACACACATAGCTTCAAGTACTACGTCAGTGTATTTGTAATTGTGTTTCTTTACAATACATCGTCGTCAACACAAATGATAAAAAGCATCGGTGACAGATCAATGAAGCTCACCAACACACATACACAAACTCGGGGTTGAGCCGTGCAGACATTTTCATGATACGAGACTCGGAGGGTCCATATCAGGGAAGGCAGGGAGTGGAAGTTTAGGGGAAAACTCTCTTATATATGAAGGTCATACGGCCATGTTTATGTGACGGATCAAACGAGAGGCGCGGGAGTGATTGGCTCCCGTCCACACCTTGAAAAATTTCCCTACGTCCGCGCCCTAATTTTCCCTGCCACAAAAAACCTCATCACTAGGTCATCACTACGTCATCACTACGTCATCACTACGTCATCAATGTTACAGTGGTCAGTGTGGGCGGAGTTTGATCTGTTTACGTACGAGTGTAAAGAAGCGAGTGACTGGAAATTGACCTCCACACACACACACACACACAGAGGTCATATAATAAACAACCCGTTAATACATAATATATACATCCCACTATTGTGAACTGTGTCAGCCAACAAACATGGCGCTGGGTAATTATTGTTTGAGTTTTGTTCATATAATGTTTGGTCTCGTGTCGGCCGTGTAAACTGAATTAAATCCTGGTTAACATCTGTTTTCTATACACAATCAGTTTATTTTGCCAAAGTTAATATTTTCTTTTCTTTATATTTTGGGTAACTAAAATCATTGATCTTTTTTCTTACTATTATTATTTTGATACTAATACTATTATTACTTTTACTACTACCTGTACTAATATTTTTACTACTACTGCAACTACTTTTACTACTACTACTTTAAATAATACTATGTCTAATACTTTTACTGCGACTTTTATTACTACTACTATTTCCACTACTTATTCCAGTAGTACTTTACTACTACTACAACTTTTACTACTACTACTACTACTACTACTACTACTGCTACTACTACTACTTATTCCACTACTATTACGGCAGTTACCATAGTAAATCATCATCTCTTGAAAACAAATTGTAAATGAGACATAAACAAGACCTATACAACAACTTGCCCGCCCACCCCGCCCACCACACCCACCCACCCGACTCATGAACAATCATAATCTCTCGAATAAGATAGCACCTCTCCCTTCCTATCTTCCTGACTGTCATCATTAGAAAGTCATTAGTCTAAAATTATTGCCTGAAAAATATCAGACTTGAGTTTACTTTGTCAAAAAATAATAATAAACAAAATAATTATGAAGGAGAGACAAGATAAAACTGTCACTACTGATAAAGAACTCACGCGTAGTTTTTTATTTAGTATTTATTTATTTATTTAAGGAGAAATATACCTTGGGGGAAACAGGTGTGAAGGAACGTCAAAATAAATTACAAATCTCGTCTGTTTATTTCGTTAATTTGTGTTGATGTTGTCAGAGTGATGTTTATTGATAGACTATTAGGCTATTAAGTTAGTTCTCGTTACCTCTATCTCAGTTGGTTAGACTCTTAGTTAAATTTATTGATGATAGAACAATTGCTAGTTGGATTATAGCCTCCTAGTCTTGGGATAAAGTAACTCACTAACTGCTAAAGATAGATAGATGGATAGATAGACCGATAGATAGATAGATAGATAGATTGATAGATAGATAAAGAAATAACCAGATCACACACACACACACACACACACACACACACACACACACACACACATTCTCTCTCACACACACACACACACACTCACACAGGACTCTACAGAAAGAATAACACAATTATAACGAATAAGTATATAACTGAGAATGATACAGTAAGTTGTTGGTATGGAAATAGACTAATTATCAAAAAGTATTACCGATATGCAAATTAGGTTACATAATGTGAAAGTGGGGCTATTTTCACGGAATTGCGAACATCGAGCGATTTGATTATTTGGACGCAGTTTCTGGCTGATATTGAGTTAAGATATTTACACATTCCGTAATTAAAACCACAGGTAAAATAATAATAAAAAACATTTACCTTTGGACGGTGTGTCTGGTGGGTGTTAGGTGTGTGATAGGTGGTGTTAGGTGGGTGTCAGGTGGGTGTTAGGTGGTGTTAGGTATGTCAGGTGGGTTTTAGGTGGGTGTCAGATGTGTGTTAGGTTTGAGACAGGTGTGGGTGTCAGGTATGTTTATATATGTGTCAGTTCTCCGACACACAGGTAATATTCTTAATTTCTAAATCTAGTTTCCTCGAAGGTGAAATATTACTTGACATGTTGATAAATAAATTCACTATATTATATTAATGAGTGAAATATATGTCCTCAATTTACAGGTGAATGATCATATAATTAGATGATACAAAGATAAATTGGTATATAGACGAGGAATATAAAAGTCCTTGACGCATAGTTGAATAATTCTATAAATGAAAATATTGAAGCTATTGGACATGCAGATGACTAATTATAAAACTAATGAATATATCAATGACTAATGAATCAATCAACATTATTATATAGCAGTAATATAGACGGGATTTGACGTATATGAGTGATATAGTCTGTGCCGTGTATGATGATCTATACTGTGAACCTTTGAGCCGAGTGATACTGTGTAGTTATAGGAGAGAGAGAATGTGTGTGTGTGTGTGTGTGTGTGTGTGTGTGTGTGTGTGTGTGTGTGTGTAAACCAGTAAGTTATACACCAAGTAATGTGAACGAAACTATTTTTTGTATATGATTCGCCCCAAAAAATAGATCATAATAATATTCGCATAAATCAGAAGATAAAATGATTAATGAATAGATTAAATAGATTACTGAAGAGAGATAGAGATTATATAAATAGATACACATTTACATAAACTACAAGAGAGTTCGTACTTACTAGTTTACTGTAGGTAATCAGCCAGTGTTGAACCAGGTAGATTGTTAACCACTCAGGTGTTCACTGATGACTCTCTTAGTTCACCTGTGATGTTCAACAGTTCACAGTAAGGTTTATATTGATTATCTTTAACTGAAATTTTGGACACCTGTCGGAGATACACCTTGTGTGTTGTAGAATAACAATAATATTAATGTATATGAGATATCAATGTGTTCATATACGTGTGTGTGTGTGTGTGTGTGTGTGTGCGTGTGTGTAAGTATAGAATTGTGTATGTATTATAGTACATAATAAGTGATGAGTCATGTATAGATATGTTTTCCACATCAATATATATTTTCTAAACTTAAATGATTCCAATTTATTGTTCTACTTCTTTTGTTATTGTTCACTGTTCACCACCGATAACTGATCGTATGTTCACTGCATCACGTTCTATACTTCTTATTTTGACATTTTCGACTTCATCAATACAGTATACTGTGTATATATATATATATATATATATATATATATATATATATATATATATATATATATATATATATATATATATATAAAACCGTGATAACATCTCCAGAATAAACAAATCTGAAGATTAAATTTCCACCGACGCTTCTCGACAGTCCGAACGTGTGTAAGTCAGGAGACCTAGAGGGAAACACGCACACACGTACACACACACACACACACGTGCACCCACACACACACACACACACACGTACCCCACCGGCGCTACACCGTCACTACCACCACACTGCTGGCGACCTCCTCACCCGCTGTCTCTGACACACCAACGCATGCGCGCCACCAACACCCTTCCTCACCACCACCACCCCCACCACAACCCCCAACCACCCCCACCACAACCACCCCCCACCACCACCATCATCCACGCCACTGAGATGTTTTCTATACAACAAGACGTTTCGACTAGCACCATCACACACACACACACACACACAAAAACACCCCCTCGTGTCTGAAGCTGTCGCGTGACGGAGGTTGTGGACACTGTAGTTGTGTGTTTATAAGGGATGAGACGCTCGCTGGGTTTCTACAGTGATATTGCTGTTGCTGGCCGCTCACACTAGTAAATCTTGCCGCATTCCTCGCCACCATCTCCTTACGGCATTTTTACGCCTCTTGCTTACTTCCTTCCTCTATTTCTTCCCTTCCTTCTCCTCCTCCTCTCTGCTTTCTTCCTTCCTCAATTTCTTCCCTTCCTCCTCCTCTTCCCTGCTTTCTTCCTTCCTCTAATCATTCCCTTCATCCTCCTTCTCCCTGCTTTCTTTCTTCCTTTCTCTATTTCTTCCCTTCCTTCTCCTCCTCCTCCTCTCTGCTTTCTTCTTTCCTCTACTTCTTCCCTTCCTCCTCCTCTTCCCTGCTTTCTTCCTTCCTCTAATCATTCCCTTCATCCTCCTTCTCCCTGCTTTCTTTCTTCCTTCCTCTATTTCTTCCCTTCCTTCCCCTCCTTCTCCTCCTCCTCCTCCTTCCTGCTTTATTTTTTCCTCTACTTCCCTTTCTCCTTCCTATTTTCTCTCTCTCTCCTATACCTTTTCTTTATTCAACTTATTCTATATCATCTCCTATTTAATTAAGCTGAAAGACACACACACAGACACATAATCTTGAATATACACATAAACACTACCATCAGCATTAACACGTACAGTATGTATTAAAAATCATGGACACATAACACATACAGGCATACATACATAAATAAATTACATAAACACACACACACACACACACACACACACACACACACACACACACACACACACACACACACATACACCGTAGAGAGCACTTTAAAAAAAAACGAGAAAAAACATTAAGTAAGGATTTATAACACACTTTTCATAAGGCAGCAGTATTCAGGGAGTCCAAGTCCATTTAAAAGGGAGTTTGGGGCTTTAGAAGGGGATCTGATACTCTCTTAAAGGGAATTTAGGACTGGGTAAGAGGTTTATAGGTACCTTAGTTAATTTAGAAAGGGTTTAAGAGTAGTTAAGGGGTTTTGTTCTTATTTTAAAGGGTGTTTTAAGAATAAATAAAGGGTTCTGTTGTTATCTTAGGGGGTTTAAGGGGCTCAGGTGTGATATGATTATCTTCATGAGATTATAGAACTGGTTAAGGGTTCTGTTATTAATTTAAAGTGATTTTAAGTGTAGTTAAGGAGTTTTATTGTTTATGTGGTTCTTTAAAGCTTGGAATAAATGGTTCGATAGTCACCTTAAGTGGTTCAGAGTTGGAGACAAGAGTTCATTGGTTACCTTAAGTAGTTCAATAATTATCGTAGTTATCTTAAAGGGGTTTTAGGTTGAATAATAGGTTCTGAAATTACCGTTGTGGATTTTAGGTTGATGAAAGGGGGTTCAATCGTTACCTAAAGGGAATTTTAGGACGTAATTTGTGGTTTCATAATGGTTCAAATCCTACCCTGAAACACCACTTAAGGTTCAAATCCTACCATGAAACACCACTTAAGGTTCAAACCCTACCCTGAAACACCACTTAAGGTTCAAATCCTACCCCGAAACACCACTTAAGGTTCAAATCCTACCCTGAAACACCACTTAAGGTTCAAATCCTACCATGAACACCCACTAAAGTTCAATTCCTTCCCTAAAATACCCACTGAGGGGTTCAATTTGACCCCGGATCACCCACTAAGGCCACTGGAGTTGTTTGCCTTACATTACCAACGTTTGCTGGTATCGTGTTGGCATGTGGCGAGGAAAGGGCCACCATCATCATCTGTTCCTGATAATGTTTCTCATCACATTCCTCTGCGTGAGAGAGAGATATGAAACAACCCTCGTTTTACTTCTATTAACCCTCATCCTTCCCCTCTCACCCCTCCCCCCCCCTCCACCCCTCTTCTAGGACAGCCAATTTCGTTTAAGAAAATTCCCCCGGATATATTCACGTAAGGAATAGCCACTTGTGAAATTCTCCAGACTAAACGAGGAGGCATTAATGTCTGGGTAGTTTTACTGTGTTGTGCTCCACCTGCGTTTTCTGGTGCTTGTTCAGGAGGTCTTATGGTCCAAGACTCCTTTGGGTAATTAAGTAAGACAGCAACATGCTAGTCATTACTTAAAGTACATTCGTTAAGAACCTAGAAGAGCTTTTGTCTGAAGATGTGTCAACGAATATTCTTTCCGTCAAAATTGTATACATACATATATACATGCATATACGCACAAACACATACGTATATATATGTTGAATATGCATTTACATTAATATTACCTATCTGTATATCAAATTAGGTAGATAAGGCAGGTAGGTAGGTAGGTAGGTAGGTCGGCAGGTAGGTAGGTGGGTGGGTAGGTAGGTGGGTAGGTGGGTGGGTAGGTAGGTAGGTAGGTAGGTAGGTAGGTAAGTGTTCCTCCTCTCTCTCCCTCGGCACTACACGATCATTCCTCCATCCTGCTTTTGATTAATTAAATCCCCGCCGTCGCTAACAGTAGTGTGTGGTAGAAGTTACTAATAAACAGACACTTTGGGGATTCAAGCGCCATTAGTAGGAGGATGTGATTGTCCTGTCTGGGGATGCTGCCTACTACTGGGGTGTGAGAGGGTCTTCTCTGCCTGCTGGGGGGGTGTGAGAGGGGCTTTCTCTGCCTGCTGGGGGGGTGTGAGAGGGAGGCTTTCTCTGCCAGGGGTGTGAGAGGGGTCTTCTCTGCCTGCTTTCTGGGGGTTATGAGAGGGTCTTCCTCTGCCTGCTGGGGATGTGAGAGGGTCTTCTCTGCCTACTGGGGGAGGTGTGAGAGGGGTTTCCTACCTGTTGGGGGGGTGTGAGAGGGGTCTTCTCTGCCTGCTGGGGGGTGTGAGAGGCTTTCTCTGCCTGTTGCAGGGGGTGTGAGAGGGCCTTCTCCGCCTGCTGGGGGTGTGAGAGGGGCTTTCTCTGCCTGCTGGGGGTGTGAGAGGGGTCTTCTCTGCCTGCTGGGGTGTGGTGGAGCCCTTTTTCTGCCTGCTGGGGGTGTGAGAGGGTCTTCTCTGCCTGCTGGGGGTGTGAGAGGGGCTTCTGCCTGGGGTGTGAGAGGTGCCTCTGCCTGCTGGGGGGTGTGAGAGGGGCTTTCTCTGCCTGCTGGGGGTGTGAGAGGGGTCTTCTCTGCCTGCTGGGGGTGTGAGTGGAGCCCTTTTCTGCCTGCTGGGGGTGTGAGAGGGGTCTTCTCTGCCTGCTGGGGGTGTGAGTGGAGCCCTTTTCTGCCTGCTGGGGGTGTGAGAGGGGTCTTCTCTGCCTGCTGGGGGTGTGAGTGGAGCCCTTTTCTGCCTGCTGGGGGTGTGAGAGGGGTCTTCTCTGCCTGCTGGGGGTGTGAGTGGAGCCCTTTTCTGCCTGCTGGGGGTGTGAGAGGGGTCTTCTCTGCCTGCTGGGGGTATGAAGGCTGGTTATCTTTCACACACACACACACACACACACACACACACACACATTTAACCCCCCCTCCCAAAAGGGACATTAACTCCAGGTCATTTATAAACCTTCAAGTCAAACAGTTAAAGAGAAACGAATTTATTTTTCTTCTCTTCATCAAGCATTACCTCAATTAACCAGAGGCTGAGTACTACCAGCTCCTTCTGCATTAAGTTAAGCTGGTCTGTGTAAGCAGCTCTCGTGCGGTGCTTGTGTGTGTGTGTGTCTGCCTTAAAGGATTACATTACGGTTTCAAAGGTAGGATAATAATGCTTGAGCCTTATTGAGTCATAAGGCTTATTAATACTTTGTCTATTTGATCAAGAGATATATATATACTTTGTCTTTGTAACCCAAAAAAATCACTAATGACTTATCAACTATAAATTATTAAGGCCACCATCCACTTAACATGACACTAGCAAATTCTAGTACTATTGATATGCTATTGATGCCTCTCTTACATACACATGAGGTTTAAACACGCTATATTATCACCTTTTAAACAATGAAACAAACTTTTTTTTTATTTTTTTCATATCCAACTCGCGTTTAATAATATCACGTACAGTAAACACGAACGGACATAATGACTTAACTTTGTATGAACAGTAAATTAATTAAAAAAAAAATGTTGTGAATCACTTTAGATAATGGGAGTTACTGTGTGTGTGTGTGTGTGTGTGTGTGTGTGTGTGTGTGTGTGTGTGTGTGTGTGTGTGTGTGTGTGTGTTGAGGCTATACATTTTTGCATTATTTTACCTTATTATTTCTTTCTTTTATTGAGGGTTTTGTCCTCCTTCATTCATCGCTTAGAATAGTGGAAGAGGTGCAAAGAAGATAGATAGATAGATAGATACTGTGGATAGATAGATAGATAGATAGATAGATAGTGTCAGGTACAGTTGCTAGGTCAGGTTCATGGTAGAAGAACCCAATGCCTTGACCTTTTGGCTCTTGTTGTTACCTGAACTTCACACCTGAAGCTCCCTCCCTCCCCCCCTTCCTCCCTTCCTCCTCCTCCCTCCTCCTCCCTCCCTCCTCCCACCCCCCTCCCTCCCTCCCTCCCCTCCTCCCTCCTCCCTCCCTCCCTCCTCCCTCCCTCCCTCCCCTCCCTCCCTCCCTCTACCGTGTGATGGTATTTCTGAATGAACATTTCTGAAAAAAAAGAGTTGAATTTCAAGTCTACTGGATTCCGTACGATATATTTTCAAACAGTATAACTAAAAAAAATGATATGGAGTACAAATTTTAATCTTGACCCTTTTCACTAGGTATAGAGAGGGGGTCAGAAGGCTTTAACAATAACAAGGAAACCTCACTTCTCTATGAACGGAAATATTACCAAGTGAAACGTG